GTGTGTGTGTGTGTGTGTGTGTGTGTGTGTGTGTGTGTGTGTGTGTGTGTGTGTGTGTGTGTGTGTACGTGCGTGCGTGTGTGTGTACGTGCGTGTGTGCGCACGTGCGCAGGGGAATAGGATATCGCGATAGGTCGTCCTATCTGTATAAAAATAAGAATCTGCATGTCTTATTTAAATGCTCAAATGTTTAATAATTCGAATCCATACACTTTCGCTCGTCAACAAATTTCCTGAATTCCGGAACAGTCCATTATTTAGAAAATATATAATATATACAATAAAAAAATGCCTTTAGAGCTCAGCTTCGTTCATTTCTCTCTTTCTCTCTCTCTTCTTTTTTCTTTTGGCAGTTACATTTTGCGTCTAGATGTGATATCACAGAGTTAATGGATGTAGATCCGACTAATTGTAAAATGTAATAATAAAACGTGCGTCCGCATAGATACATGTTTCTCTACACGCTGCTCCTTCCTATCGATTTTAATCCTTAATTATATGAGCACGTGACATATGCAAGTCGTCTCTCTCTCTCTCTCTCTCTCTCTCTCTCTCTCTCCCTCTCTCCCTCTCTCTCTCTCTCTCTCTGTCTGTGTGTGTGTGTGTGCGCGCGCGCGTGTGCGTGCGCATACACATGTCAATCAATAAAATTTTGTATGTGTACATATTTCAGTATATCATTTAAGAAAAATATAAAACTATTGAAGTCCATGTGATGGACCGTATTCTCGGATTCCTTTCTCTGATCGTGATATCATATAGACTTAATACACTATTATCTCTACTTTGTCGAATTGATTTCATAGACGTACGCGTCTAGGAATGCAATCTAATCGATGCTCTTTAAGCTTTTGCTGTCTATGCTTCTGGAAAGTTAATCGTTAATTCTAAAATTCGTTGGAGACTGACAATTGTTAACCAAACATTATCCGAACAGACTTTAGTACTTTTAAATGAAGGAAATTTAATTTCTATTCATTAGCCATGTTATCCTTCTGAAGTGTTGACAATAAAAGTTTATGATATTTTAATAATGTCTAATTGCTGCAAAAATGAATGTTCTGAAACATTAAATAAAACGCGCGCCATGAAGTTTCTGTACCATCAAAATCTGTATATTAAATTACATTATACGGAATGTAGAGATACGATGATGAATGTTATTCGAAGTTCGATTAACACGATATAATTTACAATCTCGCCGGCTCGTAAATATCTTCGTTAATTACGCTATCTTAATTAACGAAAATGTAGAAAAAAAAGCGAAATACACAAGTTCCAACCAGTATTTATACAGCGCGCACAGATCTCGCGCTAGAGATCGCACGCATATCGGATTATCGAAAAAATGTATCACCCGGAATTGTTCAGAGGAAATACCCTCATTGTTATATATACATATTCAGCGTGTATAGATCGAAACGTGTCTATCAGTTTTCGCGCATATCCGTTTCCGATGCATACATGCCGATTGTATATATCATCGATCGGGAGGAGCGAAATGCGTGATCGATCTATTCCGACATCCACTAACTCTATGCTGGAAATGCAAAAGCACTATTCTCGCGTAACTAGTACAAATCTTAATGCATCCGCAAATGTACTACACTCGCCTATCTTTGCGTTAGGCCCTTGGAAATCTTTGATGTACTGATTGATGACAAACGATGTTAATTAATGTACAATTTTATTCAATAGATTGAATATAACAGTACTTCTTGTCTTCAATTTTCCAAAATATGCATTAAAATTTTTAATCTTACTCAAATATTTAATTTCAGAGCCGAGAGCTTATCATTTTTATAGAAGGAATTTTTGTCAAGATAAATTATCTTGTCCCTTGTTTTACATAATTTTAAAAGATTAGCAGGATCACATCTTTTAACAAAATTATTCTTTTAACAGAGTTGAAAGCTTAAAATTTAAATTTTATTATTGAAAACTTAAATTTTATTATTAAAAGCTTCAAATTTTTTCATATAGTTTTCTCTTTAATTAATTTTTATAGTCGCTAATTTTAAAAATTATTATAAGATATTTTTTATCAATCTGCTGATCTTTTTCTTTGAATTTGTTTACAAATTTGAATAGCAGTAGTATAGTACGAATGTGTCGTATTTTCGCGGATCTCCTATTGCAAGGCCGATCTCAAGAATATCTTTGAAAATGCAATATCTATGCATTTTCAGTGACAAAATGCAATATCGTGAGCGGTATATTTGTTATACTCTTTTAGAAACAGTCTCTTTATACAATATTTCAATTATATTATGTACAATTGCATATACTAGCTAAAAGATAGAACCTATGTGCTATATATTACGTTAGATCCAAATATGAGTTCTGTCGAACTGTAATTACATAGCAATATCCCAATCTTTATTCGAAAATAATCCAATTGAAATCTCGATTACTTATACCCTGGTCGTATTTACAGTAGCGCGATGGTATTTAATAATGTACATGAGTTTTCGAGCTTAATATAAATACTCTGAAGTGGTCGTGATTCGAGGCTGTCTCGTAAATTATGCCTTTGTCATTTCAGAAGTATTATATCAGGACTAGATAGTATTCCAAATACATGTATGACGTAAAATACAACTCAACTGTAAAAGATGAAATCTTTCTACATAGAAATTTACTGTACGAAATGTTGCACGTTAAGAAAGCTTAGGCCTTATCTCCAACAAAAATGTATTCACTAAATATCTTGTGATCACAAGATAATAATGAAAACATAAGAATGTACAACAGAAGAGAATATTGACCTATGAGCGAAGAAGTTGACATGGAGATTTAAATGTTTGTATTCTTTGATCTGGAAACAGATTTGATTCAGAGGAAGAATTAGGGATGTACCAGATCGTAAAATTACCAGATATCGGATATCACATTCTTTTCGGATATCCAGTCAAATATCTGGAACAAGGCTTCCAAAAAAAAAAGCAAGAAAATAGCGATAATAGATGAATTTCTTTATCTTCCTAAAGTGAAAAGAAAAAGAGAAAAATGAATTGTGCAAGAAGTTCAATTCAAGAAAAGAAGAAAATTCTGCATTAATTTTTGATAAAGCAAACTTTTAATATAAAGTTTCAGTCGAATATATATGTATTATTGGATACTAATGATATCCAGCTATCTGACTGGATAATATCGGATATCGGATATCGGATATTTTCCAGATATCCGGTATATTCCTATTGAGAATTACAGAGATCATTTCAGTTGCCACGATTCTCAGATAATCGATGTGTAATGGTAACAAAAATTCTCTGCCGAATCTTGTATAGGCTGGTGCTACCAGTTGTTTCCAACACATATTGGGAATACTACAAATACACGTATAGTGTAAAAATGTTTGAGATATTTACCTTAATCCTGAAGGAAATTTTTCAAGAATATTTTTTGTATCTCTTTAACCACACTTTTCAACAGTATTTTATATCTGAAATACAGTTTCCACAGAATATTTTTTGTATTTAAAATACAATCTACGATGTGTCTTTGCCTAGTCCTGAATATATCATCTCGGTTCTCTTTCATATAAAATTAAGCGAAAAACATATGAACAATCAAAAATTATTATCCACATGATTATCCATTGAGAACTATTGTAATTAATCAACAATTCAGGCAGTATATAGCTAATAAACGTTATATCGAAAACGCTAGTAATCTAGAGTTTGGTCACTCTTTTAGAATACTAGTCTGCAGTAAATTATAATAATCCAGATAGCAAGTTTCCCACAGGTTGTTGTCAAATATCAATTTGCTTGAAACTGCTTTAAGTTGCTTTCAATATTAAGGAAAGTGAAAGTTTTGTCTATTGGATTATTACCGATCTTTTATCGCTACCAACAATTATGAGCAACTTCATGGCAACATTCAGGCAACAGTTAGTCAGTTGGCCTCTTACAAACCGATCGCATAATAGATTATTGGAAATCCAGATGAAACAGAGAATTTTCAAACTATTCGTCCACAAGATGAAAAGAGAAATCGAGAATTGTCAAAAGAATTATTTACTTTCATTTTAAAGTCCAATTTTGAAGACTATCTATCGCCTTCAAGTAGATACTATTTCATTATTACTTATTATCGTTACAAGAGAAATCTCATAATAGTGCGTCTTTTATTCTGTTTTATGATTTTTACTTGATGCAGCTTCATCGTGCCCATGGCGGTGTCGTGTACTGTTCGCAGGTAAGCGATTTCATATCAATTTTTATTTCATTATATTTCCATTTAATTGATGGAAATGTAGACTAAATATTTTATGAAAACGGTTTCAAACAGATTGTGGCAACTTTCATGACAATAAGTATGCGACAGTATTTCAACTACTGTGCAGGCAAATCACTGTCCAACATAAGGTTAACCTAAATGAAATTACTATTGCCTTGATGGCAACAACTGAAAGGAAACTTGTGCCAAACAGTTATTTTCTTTCAAGCTAAGGAACACTTTTTTAACTAAGTATTATATGTATAAAAAATAATTTATGGACATGTTTAAATCGTTTCATTCCCAATTGGGAACACTCTTAATCACCGATTAAGTAATTAGTCTGTTCCAACAAAACGGAAATTAATATTGTCGGTAATAACTATTTAGCTGCATATTTCCCACTGTTTACGACAGCTCATCGATCGGTCAATAGCTTACAAACTTTTTGAGCTATATACACTTCCAGAAACACGCAATACCTGAGAATTCGTGCTGGAAATTACAGTACTTAGACAGTCTTACATAATAGCTGCAGATCATCTCGAAAGTAATACGCATAGCGTATTAATAGCGGTGTAAGTTACTATATGTAAAATAAACAGAAGCTGAGATAACGACGAAGCAGACGCTGCGTTTGGAGTTTTCATTAAGACCTCGCACATTCCTGAAACAAAATGCAAATGTTGAATATTTATATCGTGCTTACTCATGTATTTAAACCTAACATAATGTAATATATCTTGAAACTACAGCGAAATGTGATAAATTATCGTAATTATTAATATCTATTTTTATTAATTAATATCTATTTTTCAACAAATAAATTGTTCTAATAAGATATTCCCTGAATATTTCAAATATTATGATAAATATTGAGATGGAGGGAGCCAGCCGAAGACCTAGATCTTAACATGTGTTGTCAAGGTCATAATCCTGTTGGAGTTCCTGGTCTCCAACAGGTTTTAGCTGTTGCTCGTTATTTGTTAATAAAAGAAGTTCAAAAAATATTTTTTTTTATTTTTAGTATATACAAATACTACTTTATACCTCTTACTTATAAAACATAGTAACTTTCCGCGTAAAGTGAGGTCCACCCCACTTTTCCTCTGCCCAGAGGCGCACGACTTTTCACGTGAAGCGAATTCCATCTCACCTTCGCTTTCCGCCTAGAGGTGCGTAACTTTTTATGCAGTAAACCTTACTTCGCTTGGAAAGTCACGCACATCCTTAGGCAGAGGAAGGAGAGAGAAAGCGGGATGAACCACGCTTTGCGTGAAAAATCTTGTGCCTCTAGGCAGGGAAGATGAAATGGACCTCACTTCGCACGGAAAGTCATTAGGTAAACAGAGAAAAGTATAGAGCAGTTCTTAATATTGTATATGGCAAAAGTAAGACATTTTTTTTCAAACTTTTGTTACTAACTTTTTAATGAACAATGAGCGAAATATCTTGTCTAAAATATCTTGGCTAAAATATCTTGTCAAGGTCATCGGTGCTAGTTCCTCCCATCTCAATATTTATCCATTTATAAAAATCTTTGCAATTTTTCGATTAATTTTAATCGCAAAATATCATATATTTGTAATTACCTTGATTGGACAGTCTATACGTCCATTCATCCTTGACTTCTCTTTGACAAGTACGCGATGGCCTCGAAAGCCATAATTCTTTTTCTTGCTTCTGTCTGCTGCCTTTGTCTTTGGCGTTTTTGAGAAGCATAGAAAAACAAAACGTTTGTCCTGTACTGCCTGAAATTTCAGAATTCCGTTGCGACGCTATCGTATACCACATTCCTTTCTCTTCCCAGCTGCCGTGACAAGAATAGGCTGCCAAAATATATATCGAGTCTTTAGTCTTTTTTTACTTTTTATATATTTTTTTCTCTTCATATAAATTAACAAGTAGTAAATCACAAGTAGTAAATGTTCATTCATATTTACCAATCTTTTCATGTTCGCACGTGTTGCCGATTATTATTTCGGCTTGATCGGACGGGGTGCAGCCAATTTGAATATCCGTACTTCTGCATTCCTCGTTTTCATTTTCCTGCCAAGTTCGCCTCTTGGTCGTTCTCGACAGCTCGCTACGCCGCTGCCGACTCGGTGCGGCAGCTGACAATGCATCCAATGAAGCAAAATTCAAAATCTCATACTGTCCTGAATTAGGACATCTTCTCTGATGCAAGAATGTGGCTGTAAAAAAAGAGACATGATTTGCATATGTTTTGCTGCTCGCCCACTAATCCGCAATACCATAATAAAGCGCACAAGTTTCCTATATCAATATTTATAAGCGATGACGTAGCATAAATTAGCACTTACTTATTAAGGTCGTATACGGCCTCGTGGAGGGATCAGACATTGAGCACGCTTCCTCTGGCATAATTGCTTTTTGATCTGCAATAAAAGAAAAAAAAAATGTTTTATATACGTATATTATGTAATACTGATTTTAAATGTAATGCTGTTGTACGCTCAAAGTTTTTCTCACCTGACTGCTGTATCTCAATGATATGGCTGTCTCTTTTGTGAAATATCATACAAACGTAACCAATATCGCTGCAACCATAAATAAGATTCAAACAACTGTGATGTACGTTAAAACTCTCAAGAGAATTTAGAAATTACTCACCAGCCGCTGGTGACATGAGCAACCAGTTTCACTTTATTTCCTTGCATATTGTCATTCGGATATAGCTTCTCTAAATTGTGACAAACGATTTTTTCCTCATGGACGATTTCGCCATCAGTATTTTGTGCTTGCATTTTTACTCTCAGCGTCGCGTTCTTGTTTGTAAAATGATAGCTTTTCGTACCATTGAGAGAATGCCAGTCATGGTGTTGAGTTACCCAAGCAGGATATTTGCATCTACTGTGCTCTTTATCAACTATTAACACAAGAAATAAAGCAAAAATATAAAAGATGGTATAATTATTTTTATTAATCCTGAAAAACCTTTTGATTTCGTTTGTACAGTTACCTTTAATAAGTTTTATGGTGGGTGAACCTTCGGAAACTGTGGTTAGACCGTTGCAAGTAGGGTCGCCGGATTGTGCAAGTAAATAAATCATCTTTCCCTGATGATGAGACTTTTCTTCATACAGGAAACACCTATCAAATAAAAGATATCATTCGATAACGATCTTGAATTTTTCAAAGAGATTTTCCGATCTTTTTTTTTTTCTTGTTGGTTAATCATCATGTTTCCCTCAGCGTACATATACGTTTCATGGAGGGAGCAGAAAGTTATAATAATGTCTATGTGAAAACATGACAAATAACTGGTTAACCATTTTTTCACCTTACCAAGTCTAATGCCCGTAAATTTATCTTTAGATGCTCAGCAGCCAATGAAATAATTCGTAGAGTATCTAAAGATAAATTTAAGGAAGCCTTAAATATAAGGCGTCTGACTATAAATACGAGTATAAATCTTTTTATGTCATAAACAGCATGCCATGAAATGTGACTAAAACCGTAATACATAATCTGATATGTAGGTGCAACGTATAAATAAGCTACTTGATGCGCAGTATAAGCATCCCGCGACAAAATCGCAACAAAAACTATTGCTGTCACGGACTTTGGATAATTACGTTACATAGAATTAAAATATAAATATATTTCACACCTGTAAGTTTTTGCGTCATTCAGTGCGCTCCTTTCTTTCAAAGTTCCCACGAGATATTTATTTCGACCATCGTTCCAACTGGCAAGACATTGTAATTCCTCGGCTGCAAATAATCAAATACATAAAGATTTTATAGAAAAATAAAAATTTGTATAAAAAAAATAAAAATTTAAGATATTATAAAATATTTGTAAATATGTATTTCAAATATGGTTAGGTGGCGTGTAGAGACGCATCTCTACACGCCACGTAAGCTGTGCAATTTTTATGCGAATAGTGAAAATTTTAGAAACTAGCGATAGCAGGAGAATAAATTTTGGAGATAGAAGAAGTTGAGCAAGTAAAGAAGAAGTTGAAAGCAGGGTAGAAAGCGAGTTGTGGCGTATATAGAGATAGACCAGAGAGTAAAGTTATGACGGCAAAGAATGCGGGAGATCCGAATCGGAAAACGGGTATAAATAAAACGATCGAGCCTAAACAGAGGAAATTAATGGCAGAAGTTAAGGATAGCATGAAGAAAATATCACTTATAGAGGAGGATAACGGAAGCGAAAGTGACGAGACAAGTAATGAGAAACAAGTAAGCAATTAGATTAGAGGCATTAAAAGAGGAGACGAAAACATTCATAGAGGGAATAAAAATTAAAGAGATATAGGAAGAGAAAATCAGAACACTGGAGAAAAAGATGATGGAAAGGGGGAAACTGGATGAAAGGAGAAATGGAGAAATTAGAGAAGGATTTTGAGAAGAAAGGGAAAGAGAGAGTAAAGAAAATTGATGAGTTTGGAAAAACAACGAAGGATTTTTTTTAGTGGATAGAGAGGACATAAGAGAGGCCAGAAGAGAGGCGTCTTTAGCAAAGGAGAAGCGTATTTAGTAGAAAAAGAAATAGCTGCAACGTTTTTCGGAAGAAAGTATGGACTAAGTGTGAAGGATGTAGAAAAAATAAGAAAAATGGTAACCAAAAAAGATAGATAGGAAAAAAGGCGCAACATGATCAAATAATTCAAATATTTCAAATATTTAATTACATATAGATTTTTATTATTTTATTTTAGAATACTTATAGATAAATATTATTCATTATATATAAATATTGTGAAAGTAAAACATGTTTATAAAATGTCTAGTCAAATCATAGAAATCTAAAAAAAATTAAACGTAAATTATAAAATAATGTGTTTCTCTAAATTCTCTTTGGAGTGGAATCTCACTCTAAATAATGAAATTTGGGCTAGTTAAAAAAGAATGACTCAATTTTCAGTTTTCTTTAGGAGTGAGATTTCACTCTTCAGCATGAAATTTACTTTAAAAATTTTAGAAAATCTAGATTATAAAATATGATTTTATCAGATATTATTTAACCAATAGAGAATAAAGGCTCATCAAATCTGGATCTTTAATATTTTTAAATAATTCAATGTGAATTTGTATATACTATATGTATATACTACATATGTACATACATATATACTACATGTACATACATATATATTATACATGTTTGTAATTATTTGAATGTGCGTCGAAATTGTTTTGGACTTTTAAAACGCAATAGAACTAGTAATATCACAATTAAATTTGATGCTCAATCAAATCTATCTATTAATAATTATTTCATCAGATATTACTTTTACGATAATTAATACACATGTATATTTTTATTCATGCTATTGAAGATAATGCTCCAGATAACTATAATATTAATTGCGAACATCAATAAGTGTTTGCAACATAAATAAGTACCTATATTTCATATACGTGCTGCAGAAGTAATTACGATGTAATTAAGCACGATGGAGTTAGTTGATCCAATACTTTTAATGATAATACTTATATAACGATCAACTTACTGTTGCTCTCGGTTCCCACGACGTCTGGACAGGCCTGATACTTGAGAAGGAGTTTGCTCTCATCAGTACATTTCTCCACGAGACTTATAGGCATAGCACATTCGCCGTAACCCCGATTATACGTGAATGTGAACGACGCTCCGCTGAATGGGCAAGCTATTGGTTTCGAGTTCACACGGAACATCGAATAGAGCGTATCATCCGAAGTAATTTCCGAGCACATGTTTTCCAAACGCAATCGCTCCGAGTTGCACCAGCCTGCTAAAATAATTATCAGGTTGTAGTAAAATTTCTTCCTGAATTGCACTTAAAGCTTTATATCTAATTCAGATTCAATAAACGTACTTTCGCGATATTGAATAACGTTCTCATGGCGTCCATTGATGATCATACAGTGATAACAATTGTCACCGCTGAAACGACAAGCAAAATGTTTATTCAAAGATATATCAGAAGGTTTGCGGGTTATCGCCGTGTTTTCATCTATTGCTAATGTCAACGTTTCGTGAACGACAAGGTTCACAAAACGTTGGCATTAGCAATAGAACACGGCGATAACTCGCAAACCTTCTGTGTGTGGTATCTTTGAAGATAATACCTGTGAAAATCTAAAAAGTTTTATCAAAATGTTTATTGTCGATAGCAAATTGAACAATTTGCAATAAAATGATGGAAAGATGATTCAATATTTTTTTTAATTTAAATGAGAAGATACTTACAAAACGATATATTTGTCATCCGTTTTTTCGAGGCATGTTCGTTCCCCGAGAACGGTCGTATTTATAATGACTGATTGAGGCTTGCCATACTGAAACCATTCTCCTGACCAACTCGATGGAAACTCGCAAGATCCTGAAGCATAAGGAATCTTTCAATAACGTAACAATGAATTTTAATGTATTTTAATCAGTGATTCCTACAATAATCACATCATGAAACGGACGATCGATGTGTCCAAATCACCAAAATTTTCACGATAAAGTCTTTAATAAAAATAATTTAGGTCTTTAACAAAATAAATAAATTAAAAATTTTTAATAAATTATAATTTTTTTTTTTTTTAAGAAAGAGACAAAATCTCGATAATTTTTTTTCGGCCGTTTTTTTATTCGCTATTTTAAATTGTGTGTCAAATGATATCTTATGATGAGACATTAATGACAAAAAATTTTCAAATTAAGCTGAGAATTGGTTTAAGAGATACAGGAAGTCAAGTAGTCAAAATTCATTAAAGTGTCTATGTACGCTTTGCAGCATGAATTTATTTTGATTGATGTCTCATCATAAGATATCATTTGGAATAAAATTAGTAGGAATTTCAAAATCGTAGGAATAAAAACAAAAATGTTTGTAATCTTTTCCCAATAAAAGATTTAAACATATATATTTTAAAATAGATAAGTTTCTCTCTCTTTCTATCTCTAGTTAAAATTTTATTAAAAATTTAACTAATAAAATTTTAAAATTCAAAATTAATTAAATAAAATTTAAAGAATGAGTTTTATGTTATCCTGTTCATTGATTATCAAATTATCCTATATTTAATATTTTACATATTAACGTAAAAAATCTTGTAAGTTGTTTCTCCAGATTACTATATACATACATATATTATATAAAATCTAATGATAAGGATTACCGAGAACTTTATTATATTTTATTCTATTCATTACAAGATACCTTGTAAAAACAGCTCGTTCGTTAAAAGGATTTTTCTTCGACAAAATTAGTTTTTTTAAATCGTAAGTCTATGTTCATTCAGGTGGAGAATCTGTAAGCGAGGACTCGTTTAATTGAGAGAATTAAGAGGCTCCACGTGATCGAAGGCTTTCATCAAGAGACGCGGACAATTAGAAAATTGCTATCGGGTCCAATACAACACGATTATTACAGTTGGGGCGTGAGAGTCAAACTGAAGAAAGGGAACTGCTGCGCGCATTGCGTTGAATATGTGTCGCGAAGCGAAACGACGCGAG